AGCGTGGGCTGGCGGGGGAGGAGACCGCTCTTTTTTAGAGCACCCGCCACACACACAGTCGAGCGTTCGGGTGAACAGAAAATCCTCTCCAAGCACAAGTATAGAAGGGCCGCAAAAAAAATGTTTGACCTTTTGAACGGCAAATTAAATTCACCTTGCACTGTTAAAGGCTTACGGTGAATTTCACTGTCAGCTACGGTGAACCCCTGCAGCACCGTAGGCTACGGTGAATATCACCGTAAGCTACGGTGCTGTAGGGGTTCACCGTAGCTTACGGTGAAATTCACCGTAAGCTTTAAACAGTGTGAGTTCTCGCTTATTACTCGTAACTCCTATCATCACTGTAGTTTCCGACCATAAAGTACGGTATAGGACATTATATGCTTGTTTCAAGTACCCTGAAATGTGTTTTTATACATTGCCACGAAAGTTATGAAAGTTTTATCACGTTGTGGTTTGGGGGGAAAAAAACAAACAAAAGTGAGCTCTGCCGTGTGTGTGGTGCACGTGCGATAAAGCGCACAGACTCCGGGCGGGGAGGGGGTCCATTTGCCAATTGTATGATTTATCTGCCTCCCCGGGTCGCACCGCAGCACATACGCAGCCAACATGCACCCGGCGGCCTGCGGGGACGCAACGCGCAACAAAAAGGGCAGCAACGCGCTCCAGTCGGGAGGAGGAGAACAGGTCCGTGTCAAAATCATACAAGTAGATAATACCATCCGAAATCGTCATGAGAAAATCTCGTAGAACACTACAAGTAAAGGAGTGACCAAATACAATCCAAATAGAGCGATATTGTGAATCCAATTGGATGACTCTTTGGGGAGCGATATTAATTACATCGCTCGTTTGGAGTAACTTTCGCGACATTTTTGGTTACGAATAAGACTCATGTTGAGTCATTTTCGCAAACGTCGCTCGTTTAGAGTCGTTTCTGCGACATTTTCTGTTATATTACGAAGAAGACTCGAGTCATTTCGCAATAATCGCTCGAATAGAGCGATGAAGCCTATACGTCGCTCTATTCGGGAAAGAAATGTCGCTCTACGTTTTACAGTGAATCTATGGTCAATTTCTACGAATCTACGTGATTACGTGATTTGACGTCGAGTCGGACGTGAATTACATATAGATTCACGTGAAGTCAACGTCGCATCTACGCGGGCCTACGAGGACGTCATTTCCCATGGGATGTAAAGCAATTATGAGTCCATCATTATTTTGAGTTTTTATACTGTTTATGAGTACACTGGTAGAACAAGTAAGTGTGCAAGATTTGCAACACCAACGTGTGCAAGTTATGAATTTGCACACTTGGGTAATGTCCACAAATTTATGACGTTTTGTAAACGTATAAATTTTGCACACTTGGACATTCACAATTCTATGCCATCTATGCTTGTTTTACCAATGTAAGTACTGTTGGTCACACATTTATAGGTATACTCGTGGAAATGTGTCACACTTTCTTTGTTTATTTTCCTCCGCCGCTCCAGTAGACGTACTCAGCACACACGCCCAACAGGCCCCGCCCTGCAACGCCCTGCCTCGGCACTGCCTCGGCTATGCCGGGCGCAGCTGTGGCTGGCAATCACATTTCCTCATTCTGGTCGCACTGCTCCCCTTCTCGCCGTGCGCCCCCGAGGGAGTAAGAAACAACCGCCTGGCTGTAACAATGTTTTACTTAGACCAGCGTAGACCTATGCGCATGTGCGTGTGCCTGAGGGATCGGCCAGAAATTACGTCCTCAGATTCATTCGACAACTTCACGGGAGCCCAGCGCCTGCGAAGGGGAGGGTAGGCAAGCCCGCAGGTCACGCATGCACTGCAAGCAAGATCTTGCCTACCTATCAGGCGCCATGAGAGTTCACTTGGCTGAACGTGGCCCTGGCAGGCTCGTAAGGGCGAATGACGAGCGTATAAATGGTTGATCCCTGAGCATATGCGTTTAAAGCATTAATTTATAATAAGGTACCATATTTAACATGTTTTTGTGAAGGCATTAAAGCACTCGACACGCGTGGAATTTCAATCTTTCGGACTCTTAGCGTCTCATGAAGAAGTGTTAGGATTTTACAGCTGCTCCGTACCGAGCAAGTGTTGGGAAATCACAATATTTTTAACACTGCACACTGCACCTGCATACGTACATCTACTCTAATCCTTCCGAGAGTTATTGTATAGTCACAGACACATGTGGGCGCAGAAAACCTGCACCACGGCTATGTTTCCCCAATGTTCTCTTTTTACGTAATGGATGTACAATAGTACAAGAATGATAAAATACCACAGAGTGTATAGTGGAGCAGCGTAAGCAGGGCTCACCTGAAGTGGAAGAAGATGGCGAGTGACACGAGCAGAGCGGCGAGCGAGACGCTGAGCCCGACCACCTCCATGGTGCGCGTCCGGGCGGCGATCTCCTGCTTCTCCTGCGGGGCAGTAGGTCAAGCAGCATGTTCAAGCCTCTGGGGAAAGAGCGGGAGTGTGCGGGAGCGGCCCGGGGTCCAGAGGGCGGCCGGCCGAGGCCCCTGCACTCCGTACTCACCGCGAGGGACACGGGGCCGTCGTTCGCCTCTATGTACAATCTCCGCACATCCTCCCACAGGCACACGGTGTAGTCCGTGTAGCCCTGTGGGAGGGACGCGTTGCTGGTGCCGTCCCTGCCTTCCCAGCGGCCGTCGAGTCCACACCGCTTCAACACCAGCGCTGTTGGACACATAGAAGTGTAGTAGTGGTCCTATTTAAGTGCACCCCAGACCTGATTTTAAGAGCAAATTATTTGAAAGACTCCAATGCGACTGGTCCACAACTTGGGATATTCACGGTTCAAGCAAAAATTAGTACTCAACAATATTCTGTTGATGTTTACCAGTATTCACGAGTATTCAACTTTTAAATGTATCCAAAGAACACGAAATTTTGGAGTTGTGGGCCCCTCGCTTCAATGTGGCTTATTTTTGTAAAGTTGTCGTGTTGTTGGCGTTACTACAACGAACATGACTACATGTTATACGTGTGATTGAAAGAGCCTGCTTACTGTTTGGGTCGAAATCTGGCATCTTGGGACAGAAGTGTCCGGACGTGTGGTTAGCTCTGGTGGGCGGCCAGCAGAGCACCCCGTCCCAGGTAAAGTTGCAGAAGTCATCTGGAACAAACGGGGGACGTTTAAGTGCAAAACTTAGGAACAGTAAGAGTTGAAAACGGGAAAACGTAGAGGCGGAAGGAACTTGTGTTAGGGGTAAAGCCGAGGGTAAAGCATTTAACCGGGAAATACACTGGAAATCAAGTGTTGCGTACGCAACGTTTCTTGACGTGTTCTCGGGAGAGCACGTTTCTTGATGCGATCCACTTAATGTAAAAGAAAAGGAGCGTCACAGCGAGAATGCATCAGGGAACGATTTCTCCAGATAACACATCGCGAAACGTTACGTACCTGGTGTAACTGTGAATGCGCAGCAGTGTTGCAGGATTGCATACTCAATATAGCCGCAGGGGCCATGGCCCCTTACGAGTATAAATAGTAGGCAAACCCGCAACTCCGCTGCGTATTTACAGTTACACCCGGTTCGCAACACTTGTTATTCCAGTGTGAAGAAAGATAGGAAGAGGGTGGAGGTAGGGGGATGATGTCAATTGTGTTCCTTATCTACAACCTGAGCCTCCACAGAACAAGTAATGAAATAGGTAATGTCAGATGAACGTAGTTTGATAAGAAAAATACAAAGAATGTTTCGCCTGCGTAAAGCTGGCCGCGTTCGCAAAACACAAAACTCTTCAAACTGCTCCTCAACCCATTAAGGCATTCCAGTAGTTCTCTTCTCCGCACCCAGCAGTGGCAGCAGCCAGTTGGAATACTTTTGATATTGGCAGATCTCCCCCACCTCTCTCTCTCTCTCTCTCTCTCTCTCTCTCTCT